TGATTTATCATTTGGTGTAGTCCATTTATCATCTACCAAATTTACTTAAAATGGACTTACTGTCTTAAATCCCTGACAGAGGTAGGAAAATATGGAGGTTGCCCTTCATAAAACCAGAGAAAATGAGGGGTTAAGGAACCCCATTCCTCTGTCACCACAGTTTTCATTCAGAAAGAACGAACTCTGCCCCAATGCCTCCTAAAACCACACAGTTCCTTAAAATAAAACCCTCTAGTACAATATTGATACGTATTGTCCACTGACAGAATATAAACAGAAAGCAGGGACTCTTTCATTTTTGTCTTTGTGCCCCTAAAGACTAGTACAGTGTCTGGCATTTAATAAATGCCTATTGATTGATTCATGGTAGCACTATAATGGGGGAAAACTCTATGTCCCACATCTATATCCAGAGGCCTAGCTCCTCCAGGGTCATAGATGGGACCCCAAATTACTAATTACCTTGCAAAGCTTTAACAGCTCTTGACTCAGCACCTCATTGTCATCTCTTTCCTCCATTCCCAAGATACTCATAAGATCAAAGATTTAGTATTGGAAGAAATCTTAGAGGCCATTGACTTCAATATCTTCATTTTACAGCTTAACAAACTGAGACACAAAAGTTAAGTCACTTGCCCATGATCACTCAACTAGTAAATGTCCAAGCCAGGAATTGAATTTTGACCTTCCTGATACCATGCTCAGTGCCCTATCCACTATGCCAAGATGCATCTCCCATCAAAGACTGACTATAAGGAAAACCTTCTATATCTTCAAGAGATGTCAGCTCCTTGTATTTTCTCTATCCTTACTTCTCCTACCCTGTAGTCTTTCATGGTATACGGTAAGTATTTAACAAATGTCCTTAATTGATTGAGAACTGAGAAACATTTCAAATCTTTCCTTACCATAGTCAAAATGGTGACCACCAAAGAAACCTAGGAGTGGCAAAGAGAACATTAGATTCATTGACAAAACCTTCTCCTTGATGAAAAGCTGAAAGAGAAGAATGACCATCTCCTTGGGAAGGATCCCAAGGGGATCACAGAGCTAGAAGGGACCACAGAAGCCACTTAGATTAACTTTTGCTGATGACAAAAATAAGTGCCAGAAAGGTTAAGGGACTTGCCAGAGGTAGCACAGGTAATTCGTGTCTGAAGCAGGATTTAAACAGACTTCTTCCCAATGTTCTGGACTTAGACTTTCTTTGTAACAAGAATACCAAAGTGTTCAAAGTAGAACAGAATGAAGAAAGCTGAACTACAACTTAAAATAATTTTTAATAGCACCTTTTAAAGAATGAGGCTTCATTTCAAGGTGAAAAATGTAAGTTTGGCCCCAGGTTTTAGTCTTGAGGATTGAGCTGTTATTCATTCTTTCGGTTCCAGTTAAAAATGGCCTTTTGAATTTGGGGTTTTCCAGATATGGTCATTGTTGTTGGGTTTTGGTTTTTCATTATTTTTTTTCCCCTGAAAAAGAGTCAGGGGAAGGCTATACCAAGAAGAGAATGAGACTTTTTTTTTCATTAAAGGAAAAAATATATATAACATTTTAAATGCATTGTCTTAAAGGTTTTCTTGTTTGCTAAGGTTCTAACAAGAAGAAGGCAAGAAACCAAGTCCTATCCACTATTTGCAAAATATTTCTTCTCTTTATGCCATAACAAAGACATTATTCATGGACTTAGTGTCAGGTAAAACAACAAAAACAATCTGTAAAGATATTTAGAGTAAACTTTTTTCTCCATCAATGAGAGCAAAGCCACCACATACCACATTTGAATTCTAATATCCAAGTCCGAGAAATGCTGAAAGAGGAAGTAGAAATGGCATTAAAGAAAACAAAGATGGAGGAGTTTCTGAATCACACCAAGTACAAACAGAGAAGTATATACAGATAACAAAGACAATTCTGAGGGTGCTGAGGGATAGGATTCTCAAAATATCTGAAAGAGGAGACGATACCAAACTTAGGAAAAAGTCATGGGCTCTATAGGTACTGACACAGGTACGGGTAAAGGTACAAGTGGCACAAAGGATAGAGCCCTAGGTGTAGAGTCAGGAAAACTTGAGTTCAAATCCAGCCTCAGACATTTATTAGCTGTGTGACCCTAGTTCCAACCTCAGTGGCCATCTAATCTAGAACTTTAGATTATTTATTATGAAAAAATTATTATTAGTGATTATATGTACATGTTCATTTCCAGATGGGAAATCTAAAGCTCTCAACTTATGAAAAATCAATTATACTGATTATTTATACAAACTGTAGGAAGGCTAATTTTCTGAACCATTTTAAAGGAATTAAATCACTTCTCAGAAATGATCACCCAGCTAATTTGCCATATCCACGTAAGTAGCCATTGTTATCAGTCATTATATATAACCTTTAAGAACTAGACTTGCAAAAATAAACCAAGATGTGATCATTATGTAGCAATTTTGTTTGCTCTTGTTTTATGGTGTTATTATCTCATTCCTATAAAACAAGTTTTCTCTCTTGTTTTATGATTCTTGATGCAATCCAGTGAAACTGGCCTACTCTCTGCTCCTCACTCAGGGTATTCCACCCGTCTATGTGCCTTTACACTGGCTATGCCCTATGCCTGGACTGTACTCCCTCCTAATCTCTGGAGATTATAGATTTCTTCTTATTCTACTTATGACACAGAAAGCAGAACTAGGTTCAACAGGTAGAGGTGTTAGAGTACATTTTGGCTTGATATAAGTATGATGGGGTACTGGCCAATAATCCCATTCCTCAAGAGCACACACAGAATATTCAGCTGATATCATCCCCACATGGATTTAGGAGTATGTATAGACATTCCAGCATACTAACCACTTGGCAAGGGGGAGCCTTTTTGATTGGCTTTGGAGCCAGGACCAGGATGTGTTCAAAAGACACTAGTCAGCCAGGAACTATTCATGGACTACTTCTATCTTTTCCCCACTTGGCTGTTTTCCAGTGAAAGAGAAAGATTTTCTGCTGAATGGGAGAGGCTTCAATGCCTTCCTATCTAAACTCAATAGGCAGCCCCTGTTTTTTGTCTCTTTCTATTTGTTCTTTTCTGTTTTAGGTAAAGGAATCTGGAATTTGGCTAGGACCTTTTGTGCTTCAGAAGGTCGGTAAAGACACCAGAACATCTGGGGGCAGAATCCAATCCAATATCAAGATCATATGACGTTACTTTCAGCACCCAGTCCAGCAATAGGTGAGATGAGGACTCATCCAATGAGTGGTTATGTCACATGTAGAAAAGAACTTGATGGGACCAATTCTATACAGAAACCATCAATTCTGAGCTCACTTTTCCCAGAGACTAGAATAGGATAGAAGAGAATGTATCCCCAGGTGTCAAGGGGGGTGGAAATGTTTATATTTTTGTGCTTACAATATATTCTCCATATATATCTCTTAATAAAAGCTAATTGATGCTAACGGTTAAATGGAATTGGGGTGATAGCCACTGACAACTAACAATGAGGGAACAAGACTGTAATGCAGCTGCCAATAGTTTCAGAAAAGAGAGGCCCCCAGACCTTTCAGGGATGCTCCTAGAACTTGGAAGGGATGATGTATCCTCCGCACTCTGAGAGAATAAAGTCAAAGTATCACTACATATGGACAAATGTCCTAATAATTAGAATTATTTCTTAAGAGTATAGTGGGCTGCCTTCGTCAGCAATGAGTTTCTCATTAGTAAAGGTCTCTAGTCAGAGACTACTACTTGTTGGGAGTGTTATAAAGGCAATTACTGCTGCAGGCATGGCTTAGTGGAATTCACCTCTGAAGTTCCTCACTGATCCTATAATTCTATGAATCAGATTCATAATCAGACAGGGTAATCTTGTTTTGGGTCAAAACATCATGTGACTATAACATCCTAAGACTGACTTTTTTGCACGACTTGTAAGCTGGCTTTGAAAACATTCCTGCAGTAGGAGTTGTGAAATGTTATAAGAAAATGGCAACCCCATTGGAATACGTGTATCAGTCAATCGATTGAAAAAATTTATTAAGAACCTACTATGTGCCAGGCCCTGTGCTGGATGATAGGGAAACAAATACAAAAGTGGCACAGTTCCTGACCTCAAGGAATCTGTATTCTTATACAGCACATGTATAAACTAGATGCAGTCATGGGAGGGAGGTACCAATAACGGGGAAACCAAGAGAGGCCTCTTGAACAAGGTAACACTTGATGTGAGCCTTGAAGACAACTACTGGTTTCAAAAGGGCAGAGGACTGGGCATTCAAGGCTGGGAGGGGGCTTATACAAAAACAGGGTCGGGGCCATGTGTAGAAAATGGCAAGTAGGCTAGTCTGGTCAAGGTATAGCGTGAACGAAGGAGAGTAATGTTTAATCATCCTAGAATGTTAGTTTGTATTTCATCCTTTGAAACAATTGGGAGCCACTGAAGTTTTCCGAGAAAGTAAGTGTTATGGTCAGCACCATACTTCAGCTGTGTGGAGTACGAATTGGAAAGGAGAAAGATTGGATGCAGGGAGACCAAATGGGAAACTATTACATAGTACAGGTGACAGGTGATGAGGACCAGAGTTAGGTGGGGCTTGTAATGTGAGTATAGAGTTGTGGTTGTCTGTGAGAGGTTTTGAAGAGGTGAAAATAATGAGAGTAAGCAACTAATTGGATGTCATTATGAAGGGGGGTGGGGGTAGCTGAAAGTGAAGAGTTGAGGATGACTCCTAAGTTGTAAACTAGTGTGACTGGAAGAATAGTGGTGTTCTCGATAGAAAAAGGGAAACTGAGAACAGGGGTAGGCTAGGAGTAGGCTTAGTTTTGAATATCTTGAGTTTAAAGTACCAAAAGGACATTCAGATGCTTTCTTCTTATTCATCCCTCATTTTCAAAGAAGACCAATGACATCACAGGATGACTTCTTGACTTGTGCATGAATTGGATTTAAATGAAGCAAAGTTGAACAAAGTCATCAGCCTCATTCTCTCTTCCAGAGTCGTTGAAGTCCAATGGCAAGACAAAAGTCAGGAATACAGGCGATGGCCCAGGAGTCAGGGGATGACCTTGAAGTCTTTGATGTCTGTGAGTAATTGGAGACTTAAGAATGGAACTCCAGAGAGAGGGATGAGGGCTAAATATACAAATTTAGGAGCCATCTGTAAGTGGGGGACAGGAATAAACATTTATTAAGAGTCTACTATGCCAAACACTGTGCTAAGCACTTCAAAAATATTAGCTCATTTGATAACGATCTAGATAAAAATAACAGTTAAGTCCATGCTATCCAATGAGAACACAAAGAGTATCTATAGTTTTCCAGAAGGTACACATATTTGTTTCATTTTCTGGGTGTTTAAGAGGTGACCAGTTGGTCATTGCTTTTCAGGTTCTCCGAAACCTCTCCCAAGTTTCAGAAAAATATGAAAAGACAAATAAACTAGTACAGAGTACAATGAGCAGAACCAGAGCAACTTATATAATAAAAATCAAAGAATGAAGAAAAATAGCTTTGAAATACTTGACAATCCTGATCACAGCAATGACCAACTATTATTCCCAGTGACTGATAATGAAGCATGCTACCCTCCTCTTTACAGAGTACTGATGAATTCAAGATGCTGAATGAGATATACACTTTTGTACATGGCCAATGTGGGAATTTGTTTTTCTTGACTCTGCCTATTTGTTACTAGGGCTTTGTTTTTCTTTTCTTCTTTTCTAATGGAGAGGGAAGTCAAGAGAAGATTATGGTAGCAGCAATAAAAAGGAAAAAAAAAAAGAAAAGAGGGTCATTGAAGACGACAAAAAGTAGGCCAAAAAAAAAACAGAGATGCAAAGGACAGCTTTGAAAGCTACAACTTTAATTTATTTTATATTTAAAAAGCAAGTCACATATAATAGAAATCTGTGGTTTGATGTACAATCCCTTTTTATCTTCTATTATGTCTATGGAAATGCCCTTCTTATTTGCTGATAAGTTTAAGAAAAAATAAATTTAAAAAATTAGTATTTTACTTTTCAACTATCTTTTTACAGACTGTCGCTTATTATTCGTCCTTCATTTTGAAGAGGACCCATAACACCACAGGATGATGTCTTGACTTGCTTGTGAATTAGGTTTAAGTGAGACAAAGTGACACAAAGCTGTCAGCCTCACTCTCTCTTCCAGAGTCATGGAAGTTTAGTGGCAGAGCAGAAGTCAAAATGACTGGTGATGGCCTTGGATGCAGTAGATGACTTTGGCATCTTAGATGTCTGACCAAGCTCTAAGCCCTCCACGGTACCTGCTCTAACCGCCTTCATGGCTGTCGGAACAAATTGTTCTCATCTGCCAATTGTACCTGGGGAAGTCTTCACATGCTTGGGATAGACACCCCCTAACTCAGCAATGGGTTTGAGACCCATTGGTTCCTCTCAACCTGATTTAGCCTGTCTGCTGAGACAGTTTACCAGGCTGTGGGTGGACACTGCACATGCTACAGCTTCTTGGAGCTGCAGCTGAGAGTTGAGTGCTGGGTAAATACCAAAGGTATCGGCAAGCCATCACACCCGAGGTGCTAGTGCTCCTTGAACACTCCAGACACCTCAGACTATTACTTACAATTTAAATTATGAATTCACCTTTTTTTTTCCTTTTTCTGATACTATTGTCTCCAGCTCTCCTCCCTATTTCCACAGCCCCCCAATTCCTAGAAGGCTCTACACAATAGTGAATATTGAATGGGTAAGTAAATTTTTAAAATGCTCAAAATGGCTTAAATTGAAAATCTGAGTAATTAAAGCAAAAAAAGACGTTTCCTGAATTACCTGCATATTTGTGAAACTTCTTGCTTTGATTTGACTTTAGAGACCAGGCTATTTCTCATGCCTGAAATGTGATCCTTCTTTACCTGTCTCTCTTGGAAACCCATCATCTCCTATGGAAAACCTTTCCTTGTCCCTATAGTGCTTTCTTCTTCCTCCTTGTAGTATCTTATGAGGAGGAGGAGGAGGAGGAGGAGGAGGAGGAGTGGTAGTAGTAACAGTAGTGGTAGTAGCAGTAGCAGTAGTAGTAGTAGTAGTAACATTTATATAGCACCTATTATGCATTAAACACTGTGCTAAGTGCATAAAGGTTACATTCTCCCAGTAAAATGTAAACTCTTTCCTTGAAAGCAAATGATTTCCTCAGTGCCTTGCATATAGTAAGTTACTTTTGTAAAGGCTCATTGAATGGTGGATGATATAGATTATTAGGGGAGGGAGGGAATAAGTATTTATTAAGCACCTACAATGTGCCAGGTATTGTTAAGTGCTTTACAAATATTATGTCATTTGATCCTCATAACAACCTCATGAGGCAGGTATTATTATTATTATTATTATTATTATTATTATATTATTATTATTATTATTATCCCCACAGAGGTCAAGTGGTTTGCCCAGAGTCACATAGCTAGTTAAGTGTCTGAGGCTAGATCTGAACTCAGGACTTCCTGACTCCAGATTCAGCACTGTCACCCACTGTAAAGAAGGAGAATTCAGAGTTGAAAGAATTTGTGTGGTTGTATACATTAAAGACAACAAGGGAATCAACTTTAAACCATAAGAAGTCTGTTTCATTAATGTTGCCTATGGTTTCTCGCAGTATATCAAAGATAGAACAGTTCCAAATGGCATATCTCCAATCATTACAAATTTGAAGGAATTAATTATAACTACTATTCTAAAATTCAACCATTCCAGCTACTTCTCTATGCTTGCCAAGCCCAGAATAAAGACTAGAATGATTCCTCACCATCAGCCGTTATTATTAGTATAAGGAATAGAAGGATCAGGAGGAAATGAGACAGACACAGCAGAGAATGGTGGACAAAGTGAAAGTGAAACAAAAAAGACATACAAAGGAATATATGGACAATGGTGACCCTGTTTTTGTCCAAGTTTATTTTCAATTCTACTAATCATGTATCTGTGGCCAGAAGCATTCAGGGGTCCTCTTCGGTGACTGTGCAAACCACCAACACTTTGGGGTTTCAGTTTTGGTATTGAGTGAGTGACCCCAGCTTGGGAATTGTCCCTGCACCTGGTGAAGTCTAAGGGAAGTGTTGAGTTGAGCATCCTGAGGGCACAACGTTCATTTGCAGTCCTTATCCCACTCAAGGGAGAACTCAGGCTATGTGTGTGCTAGAACTCTTGGGTCCCAAACAATCCAAAATTTGAGTCAGGAGGGAGATTTCCAAAGTTTAGGAGGATAGAAAGCTGGAAGCCCTCAAAGTATGTTTTACATTACATGTTCTCTTCCCTAGTCTGTAAGTATCGTTTATTGACTTATCAACTCTATGCTAACAATAAAAATATATGAGCAGCATGACCAACTGTAAACTCAGAGGACTCATGAATGATGAAGCCTGTTACCTTCTGACAGAGGCAGACAGATGTTTTAGACATTACAGATATGTGGATTTGTTTTGCTTCACTGTGTTTATTTGTTATAAGGAGTACCTTTTTTTTTTTTTTAACTTTTGAGGTAGGGATTTGGGAGGAGGGGGAAGAGAAAGCTAGCCATAGTATTGACTCCCGAAAAGAAGAAAAGAAATAAGAGAAGGGCACTGTCTTTTAAAAGTGCACAGAATGGGGGGGGGGGAAGGAGTTCAGTAGAAAATGTGGACAAAGAGGACAGCTTTAAAAGTCACATGTTGAATTTATTATACAGTTATCTCTTCTACGTCAAGACTTTCCTCATTGTGGTTTTGACATATCACTGATTGGCATAAGAAATAAAATGGGAATTTGGGGGGAGTTCTGTGGAAGCTGTAGATAACATGTGAAGGCCAGCAGACACAAAAAAAATTTTAGAAACTCAGAAATGCATAAAACATATGTATAGTATTGTATAACATCAACACATTTTATCTTTTAATACCATAACAATTCAGACTTTTTCTCTGGGAGGAAAAGAGTACCAAAAAAGTTTACTCAGATTTTCCACCCTACCCCCAATACTCCACCCCATGCTGTCAAAGGGATAACTGTACTTACTTTTTTTTAATCAAGCTATATATAATTGATATTTTTGTAGTTTCATATTAATCTTTTTCTATTTTATTTTGTATATGAAAATATTTTTTCTTTTCTGTATTCATTAAATTCTGAATAATTTTTAGAAATACTATATTCAGCAAACCAGTTTCATTCTAAATAAATACAACTTTTAAATCAATCAAGGGCCTGAGAGAGATGATGGACTAAAGGTACAGAATGAGACACAAAATTTTCAGACATAACCAATAGATATATTTGTTTTGCTTGACCATACTTATTGTTATAAGATAATATTTTTTTTTAATTTGGGAGAAAAAAAGGGAGCTACTAATAGTGAGGCCAAAAGAAGAAGAAGAGTGGGTTATTGAAGGATTTTTATTAATGCACATAAGAGAATAAAAGAAAGTTCAAAAGGAGACTCAGACAAGCAGAAGAGCTTCATATAATAGAGATTCATGGCGTTATATACAGTCTTTCTTTTCTGTATATGGAAATGTTGGTGTTTGTCATATTCAGAATAATAAAAAAAAATTTACTAAAAAATAAAGTGAACAAGGCAGCTGAGAAAGAATGATATCAATACCGGAGCTGTAATGAACTTTAAAATGCCACCTGTAAACCTGAGCGGCATTTGTTTTTGTTTTTGCATTTCTTTTTGTTTTATAAAGAAAAACTGATCTCTAAAATAAAAGGAATAGACCATTAGCAGTTATTATTATTCACCACTGAAGCTGTATTGACCAGTGAAATCATTCTCTGCCCAAAATACTCATTTCCTTTGACTGTAAGATCATTTGTTAAATGACTGTTCATTGCTAACCCTAGTTACTCATTCTGTGAAGATACTAAGGTTGAGAGTGATACCAAAAAACTATGGCCAAAATTCCTGTCATTTCCAGTCACAACCATCACCACCACAAGGTTCCCATTTAGTTTGTTCTGGGTTAGCTTCAATTTAGTTCAATTCAGTAAACATTTATTAAGTACTAAGAGCACAGGTTCATTCAAGGGCAGGCTTAGAATGTGTACAAAAGTTCTATGCCAACCAAAAGTTCTAAAGTCACTCTAAAACCAAATGGAATCTCTGGCCTCAGATCTTCCCTTTGTTTCTGTGGGGGAGATTTCAGAGCAA